TAATATTTTAAAAATTAAAAAGAATCACCTCAGTGTTATTATCAGAAAAAAAAATCTTAAATTGGCTGGCAATACTATGTTCTAGCCCTTTAATTCACTATAATAAAAGTAACAGTGAAAGTAAAAATTAAATAATTCTGAAAACAGTAAGGAAAAAACCTAAGTTGTATATTAATTGGAAATTAAATCAAATTAAAATACCTTTAAATTATTTTATAGTCAGCACTAATTCACTACTGAGCTGATAAAATACATACATAAACAAACCCCCTGAAACACAGAGTGATTTTTTTTTTCTTAAATTGTCAAAATTAGGAAAGAATTGTAATTTAAGAAGCTGAAAAATTTTACGTGTTTAAAGTATCTTTATCAATAGACATAGTTTCTAGAGAAACAGGACACAACCATAACATTTGAAAAATTTATAAAGTCAATAGAAACATGGTTGGAATAAACTTGGATTAAGAAATAGTACTCAGCTCATTAAGATAAAAACCTGTCCACTGTAGGGCCTATAAAACAGACAAATTCAATAACTTACATCTTGTATCATTGTTATTATGGTCAGTTACTACTGAGGGGAAAAAAAGCTAAGGAGATCCCAGCACACACGGAATGCCATCCTCTCATTAGCTAAGATAACAACAGGAGTAAGATTAAAGTTTAGAGTCTGGATGAAGTGACATACAAACCTCAGAAACTAATTTCATTTTGGTGACAAGGCCAGCAGTAGTTTAAAAATAAAAATTACGGTAACACTAGACAATATCATCTTGCAGCACACGTGCAGTCTTTAATATGCCTACCTAACGCTATGGTGTCCTTTCCCACAGAGGCAGAAACAAACAGAATAGTAACAGAAGAGAAGGGTAAAGAGAAGTAACAGAGCTGTTGCCATCACTTGTAAGTACAGATATGAGATGCCTGGTTTGCAAACCTCTAAGCATCCTACTGACACTGGAAGGCATCAGGAACTTCATTACCAAAAGAAGATAAAGTGGAACTGTGGAGACAACAAAGGGACACTGCCTTAGATCTGAGACTGATCATCTTTGGGAAGGAAGAGTGTCCTGAGGCAGGTGTGGAACCAGACCTCAGCAACTAGGAAGTGTTAAGTAGTGGAACAAGCTGTATCTGCAAGGAAAACAGTGTCACTAACTCAAACATATGTGGGAATGCTGGCTTTGATCCTTTCTATAATGGGCTCTGAAAGACCCTATGGAAGAGTACACTAGGAAACACAGGTCCTTGGGAAGTGTCTAGTGGCTGGGGACTTGGGGGGGGGGGGGGGGGGGGAGCCGGGGGAAGAAAGAAAAGCTCATTCTCCTTTCATTCACATGCATTGCAACAGGTTGTTGGAACAGTGTTCATCCAATGAATAATTCATGACAGTTAATTACGAGGACCATTATGTTCTATCAGCACCTAATAACATGGGATATAATCAAGAATGGTGTTTGCTGTTGCTCTCAGTTGAGATGAAGTTCCGTTTCCTGTATGTGCCCACAGGAGGAAAGAAATTATTCAGTAAGGTTAAGTTAGAAATTAGACTAAGCCATCTTGCTGGAATTAAGTCTCTCAGTGATTTTAAGGACAGTTACACACACACAAAAGAAAAAACTAAAAGAGGCAGCATGACCAAAAAAAAAAAAAAGTTTTCTGCCCTATTACATACCATTTTATTTATCATACTTAACAAAGCTAAACCTGTACAAGTTTGTACATATCGCATTGAAGGAACTGTTCACTAGCTTAAAAAAAATGAACAAAACATCAGAAACATTAAACTTATGGTCCCCTTTGCAATTTTTGTGCAGTCAGTATCAATATATCAGCTCAAAGCTTTTGAGATATACGAAAAAACCTTAACAATGGAAATACAGACCACAGTGCCCCCTTTGGGCCACCTGCGATTGGTACCAAGCTTGTATCCATAGTAATCTCAAATGCAAAATTCAAATTCCGCTATATAGAAATGTGAAATTACAGACATTAGTAAAGAATTAGACATTTAAACAGTAAAGATAAATTGGATCAAAACTACATATACAGTTAAAGACATAGGTAAACATACATGACTGTTCAATTCAAGATCACATTTTTACATAGGAGAAACATTACATTCCAATCTACCAGTATGGCTTTTTCCATGAACAGGTGGGCGTTTTCAGATTTAAAAACCAAAACCGTCAGTTGTCTAAGAAAACTAGAAAAAATTAGTTATGTTAGGAAGAATTAATATCAAGAAATGAAAGTACGATTAAAGTGAAGTTTATAATATCAAGATAGACACCACTATGATTTAGTTTTGGAAGACATTTCACCTTCAATCTTATTATTTGTCATAACAGCGGCAGCATATTTCACCTGTGAACTTTCATCTTAGAATAGTGGAAAATAAGGTGTCACTTTTTTTAAATTCAATAGACTGAAATGCACCTGAGCAAAGCAAAATTAAAGTTCAAAGATGAAAGAAAGCATTTAGTTGAACTCGGTTTTGGCTTGTGGACACGTACAAAATTAAAAAAAAAATAAATAAATAAACAGCTTTTGGCACTTATCCACAGTAAGCTGTAAGGTGATTTAATAAAAGACAGCTAATAGAAGTGATCAGCTCACAATGAAACTGTACAAGCCATTAGTTCACATTTAAACAATAAATCTGATTGCAGTTTTGAGCACAAAAACATAACTTAAAAACCTATTTTATGCAAATTTGAAAAACTATATTGATTTTAAGTAGTTTAAATACATTCATTCCCAGTCAAAGTTTTACAGTAACTGATGATTTTCAATCACACACACAACCAAGTTATAAATCCCTGAAACATGGATTTATTTATAGGAATACTGATAAAACCTTAACAGAGATACAAATGATACATCACATAGTGTCTTACACCTTAATGGTAAGTACTTGACCACCTTGGATTGGTAGATGCATCACTCCTACTGTTAGACTCTAATACCATCCTCTAGGACCAACTGGTTTAAATTGAATTCACAACAGTTTGCAGTTATCTAAAAAAGATGATTTTTTTTTTTTTTTTTTAAATCACACTATCAAATACTCATCTTCTAACCAGTATTTCAAAACATCTGGAAAGAGAATTTCCCAGTTATAATGGGGCCTAAATATAATAAGCAGGGAGAGTCATAGTGAATTTGTGAAAGTAATTCCAGAATCAGTGCCCCTGCAGAGATTTACTATACAGCAGTACTTCCCTTGAAATAAGTTAATTGGTGCATCTTAGGACCTCGCTCTACCAATAGATCTTTAAACTCTCGAAGTTAATCTCATTCTGGCACTAACTTTCCATGGGGTAGGGCAATTTCCAAATGAAAGGCACTCTGTTATGAGTGAAATCAGAATTATCAGCAATGCAAATGGAAAACTTGCAACATATTGAAGAGAACTGCTGTATCCTATATGAGGTCTAAAATTAAGTACTTCCCTTAAAAAAGGTGGGAAAATATTTGGAACGGCTGTAGCATGTGTTTGCATGCACACAGACACTAGCCACTGTACAAGCAGAGATCTTCCAAGTATCTCAACTGTTGTTTGGTTTGGTTCCCCTCCCCCAACACTTCTTTTCGCTTGGGCAGAACTAAGCTTCTACGGTCCAACTGCACTTTAAGGACCACGGCACTATCAGGCGACTTGCAGAACAGCCCGTGGACCACCACTGCATTGCTTCCTGCAGCCCAGGGCAAGCAGGTCTGCAGAGTAAGTTGCAAGAGTGGTCCTCTCTAGTAGAACAAGAGCACAGGCACACACTATTAGTTTGTTCCACTAATTATTATTTCTTCTTACACCTTTTTTTTTTTCCCCTCCTTGTAAAAAAGAAAAAATTCATCTTGGGAACAAAGCTTTCCTTAAGGATAGGAAAACTCATGCTTGTTAGTCTGAATAAGGGATGTGCAAAACAGAAGTCATTTCCCTGAGGCAAAGATCTTCAAGTCATGCCTATCTTACATTGTCTAGTCTTATTTCAAGCTGTTGAAATATTTGGCACAATGAGGCCTTGATCACTGACTGAGTCTCATGGCATTGTCACAGTCTACATAATATATTTATGTAATAAAGTAGAAGTTACAAATGTTTCAACCTCTCATTCTGTTTTGGTTCCTCACATTTACTCATTAAAATCCCTTTCCTTCTCAAGGGTGGCCTTGAGCCTCCTGCGCAAGAAAGCAGAGTGACAAACTTCTACTGTATTTAAAGGTTGCCACGAATGCTGAGCACCCAAAAGGGAGGGCAATCGCAGTAGTTATCGGACTTGATACATGGAGTAAAAGGGTAAAAATTAATAGCCCATTAAATGCAGGTCAAAGGTAGGTGATTTAATAATCTCTTTTGACTTACATTATGAAAAGCATCCAGGGAGATAAAAGAAAGTCATGTTGTGAATGCTTCCAGTCTAAAACACGTAAGAAGCAAAGCTTGAAACCAAGTCTTTCCAGCTTTCCCTTTAAAATATAAATTGCACTTTTTATACAAAGCAATCCAAAGTCTAAGTTGCAGTAAAAATTTCAAGCTGCCTTACGGTACCAAAGAGTATCTGTGTTCACCATCTGAAGTAGAGGCAACCAGTTTTCAGCCATTCTGCACATAGAGCCATACGCTCCACACCTTTCTGCTTTAAAAGGGCCTGCCATTAAATGCCATGCCACTGGGTGGGTACTGCACAAAAAAGAAAAAAAAAATAAGAATTTAAGGCCTTTATCTCCACAAGGAGCTGAAAACTGTGGCACAACCCATGACCAATACTCAATACGCAAGTTAGCACACTCCCACCCAGGGCTCCAAAAATCAGTCATTCTTTCTAATGTTTGTCACACAAGACAATCACACCATCAGCAAGCAACAGTGCCAGATAAGCGTTTTTAAGGTCTTCAAAAATTCATAGCAAAGGGCACTTCTGAGAAAGATAATCTTAAAGATTTGGTTTTAAAAATAGACACCACACTCACATTCAAGGGACATTCTTCACTTTTAGGCCTTTGTCACAAATCTGAATCTTTATTGTTCTGAAATAAATGCTATAAACATAAGACTCAAAACAAGAACTCCAACTTTCAGTCTCAGAAGAGGTGTGGTTCAATGCCCATATCACGTGTAACAAGAAAGTTTCCTTAAAAAAGGAAAAAAAATTACTGTAAAGTCTTTTTTAAGAATGAAAATGCAATCTTTGTTTTTCTCATTAGTTTGTGTACAGGCGGGCACCAAAAAAACTTTTGCATTTTCTTTTGAATTCTTGCTATGATGCTTGACGAACTTTTTGCCATTCAACAAATTCATCCAGAAGTACAGGCCCTGCAAATGGATGAAACTTGGAGTTATATTTGCCAATGTTTTTCAAACATCTTCTCTTAAAAGTATGAAGGTTAAAACTATTGGTCTAGGTAACACCCATGTCAATCCTATGGTCAAATAGTTATTAAGACTCAAAGATGAATACAACCATTTCAACCCAAAGGTGGCAGAAAGTGCACAAATAACACTACACAGAATTATGGAAAAAAGCATTCCTGACATCTGACAGGTGCTCTGAACTGAATAGAAAGGATAAAAATAAGGTTATATCGTAAATTGGCACAATTAATTCCTTCTTCCCAGGGCTTTCAAAACCACAAATAATTAGAACACGGACCAAAATGGGATGCCTAATGCAATTCAGTCACTATGACTGACTATCAGCCAGGTGTAGCGTTCAGCCCCAAGTACCAGCAGCTAGGTTATTACACAGTTCTATAAAATAGAGTTTATCATATATTAGTACGAAATGAGAGTTTGCTGTTTATAATGCTATTTGCAAGTCTACAGCTTCATGTAGCAAGCAGCTTAACTAGATTCACAACTGAATATAAGTTGGCTCGAGCACACCATCGTACCCCTGACATACTACTACAATTAATTCCTGCAGTTTGAAGATGGATGGTAAATCAGGACCTTTTTTTTATGTATTGCTGGAGAAGAAATATTTTATACCTGACAGTATTGTTTCTGTTACAGAAATTTGTTTGATGCAAATTGAAAATAAGCAAAGTGTTATGAATACTTACAAGCACCATCTTCGTCATAGTTGCTAAGATCTGCATGGACAGTTCTGCTGAACTCTAGCACATTGTACCACTGATCCTTGTTCATAACTCTGTACTTCGATTGCTAGGGAAAATAATTTCAGAACATTAAAATGTCAAGTGACATCTGGTAATGCTGCATCTCATTTCTCACTATTTATCTTCAACCAGTTCCTAACAAACAATTTAATGGGTAACAATAGCTATTTCCTTGGTTTTCCATTTTTTTAAAATACTATGCATGGACATATTTCATAGTTCTGAAACTACATAATACAGTTTCTTGAAAGATCAAAGAAAAATTGAAACACCAGGGAATCCGGAAGTCACCACTCTTAAGCTTCAAAAACTGGTTTCTGTCTTGGCCTGAAGGGGGGTATACCTAGCTCAGATATATTTCCAGAATGAATGATTACTAAAATCTTCTTTTCTCCAGGGTACAACACAGTATGATCATAAGGACATCTACTTTGCAATGTTAGCACTAATTTGAAGCCAAGGAATACTCTCAAGCCTAGCATGCCCCACAACCTACACACGTCCCATTACTAAGTCACTTGCAGCTGAGCCAACCAAAATCTTCCAGAAACAGCCAGAGTTCAAGCTACCTACACAGTGTATCTACACAAAACAAATTTGAAATTCAGCACAGACACAGCTGAAGAGGCTACTGGGGCTCTATTATTTAATTATAAATCTACCTTTACAGTCTAATTAAGATGGAATTTTAGCTGCCTTTGATAAGAGAAGGGAGGAGTACAGGGAGGGAAAAAAGGATCTGTGATGCATACAAGAACATTACTGTTTCATAAGCACATCAAGCAAGGGAACAGGGGCAATATAGATATGTTTTTGAGCAAAACAACACAAGCCCTGAAATCTTTTCACAGAACAGCCCAACTACTATGCCATCATTCAGAAAGTCAAGGAAACTTGTACCTCCAGGTATTGATAAAATACTGAAAACAGTGGCCAAGTTCTTCCAAGCAGAAGAGCTAACATGGATTTTGCAGTATCAATATCAAGACTTCGCTGGTCTTTATCCTAAGGTTGAATAAAGAAAGCACAAAACCCACTCAAGTACAAGCTTGTTGAATAATTAAAACAAGAACTTCTCTAACATTTCATTAGTCTTACCCTTGCAAAATCAAAGGCATATCTGTAGATATTCTTAAAGGATGAAATGTCATTCAATTGTGACCGCAAGAAGTCAAATTTACTCTGTAATTTTTCTGTACAGTCACACCTTAAAATAAAGAAAAACAAATGATGTTAGAAGTTCAACACATTTGGACAATGAAAAAAATGCTAGCAAACAAAAAAAATTAAAATCACCAACATCAGACATACAGGAGTAATACTATGAAAATAACTTAAAGAACACTGAACACGCTCAACATCTGCAGCTTATTGAAAGCCTGGCTTCTGTAAGCAAGTTTTGTTTAAAACGTATTAGCAACGTAATATAAAGTCTCTGTTTTACTTCTCAAATAGTAGTATTTTTATGCCATACTCTGCAATTTATATTCATATCCAGTACTATCTTATCTTTCAATCACTATGAAAGTTTGGAGAAAGCAGTATGTGGTGTACATTAAGGTGGCAAAATCCAGTTGTAAACAAGGGCTTTATGCCATATCTCTTTGGAAAAAAAGCAAACCCTAAACACACACTTCAAGACTACATATTTACAAGTGGCAGGATTGAGCACACTCACTCAGCAAATGTACTAGTCCGCTCATGTTTTATGACTGATACATGCAAGCTGTGATAAGCCTATCACCTGGATTAGTCAGTAGCTATTCAACTGAATACTCAAAGGCTGTATGAGAACATACAGGTCTGACAGTTGACAGGATAGCTCTTTGGCAAAAATAACCCTTTGGCAGAAAAGAAGATCTTCACGTATTTACTCAGTGAGGACTTTTGTTTTCAAATAGAAAATGGGTTAGATTCACCAACAATGGCAAAGGAGAATGTAATTTACACGTTAATCCTCCAGGAAAGACTCAGTCAAAAGAAATGTTGTTATATTACATCATATCACATCACATTTTATTCTTATAAAATAAGTGCTGCCATGATTAACAAAAAAAAATAAAGTCCACCTTGCCTCATATACTGCATGACAGAAGCAATACTTTCAGAAATAAAGGTGTACATAAATACTTCTTTTGGTAACATGTGCCCCTCCTGGCAGCGTGACTCTCAGAGAACACATTTGCATCTTTAACAGCTCCTTGTGGTATTGTCACAGTAGCCCACAGCAAGTGCCCCTGGGGAGTACCGCAGCAGGCTGCTGAGATGCTGTACTTTGATGCTGTACTGTGCCCACAGCCGATAGATACTTCTTGTTCCTCATGTCTGACAGCCTCTGTGTGCACGTCGGTCTGTCTGCCCCTCTCAGGCAGTTCCAGCTGATGGAACCTTTTGTTATTTCTTGTCTCTAGTAGCATCTACCTAAAGCAGCACTGAGTCCCAGCCAAGTTTACTGCTAAATAAATAAAACTATTAGCTAATTATGCTGCATATTCAGGTGGCAGGAACTAATATATTTTGCAATAAACCATGCATTAAGTTAAACAGAAATCTTGTTAGGACTGAGGTTTGATAAATGTAAATAAAGAAAAAAATACTTTTTTTGTCTTCAGCCATCTAATTGTTCTATGTATCCTATTGTTTAACCCTTAAAACAGTATCATGCTATGCTACAAAGGCATCTCATTTTGTATTCGTATCTCTTCTTTCCATGTTCAAACCTTCATACTGCAATAATATTGCCCTCTACATCTGAGGACAAATCTACCTATTTGAAACCTAACTAAATGCTCATGTTGTTAGCATACTAATAACACATAAATTACGTAAAGTGGATTTACCACACATTTTGTCAAGTATAATTTGATTGAGATTATTTACCATACCATGGATAAACAAAAATTTCAGTATGTTTAAATGTCTCACAAAATATTTTGTTAAAATTGTTCAAATAATCATAAATGTAAGTACAAAGTAAAATTTCTGTTTACTGTACTATTGGCTATATGTATTTTAATGCAGAAGTGATTATCTTAAAAAGCTAGTATGAAAATGTGCAACTATTAGGTCTCAAGACTCCTGAGCTATTGTTAAACTATTTAAAACCAAACAGTCAAACGGATCTCACTCGAACAGACAGGCACCACCCTCTGAAGCCTGAAGCAGGGACATATCCCTGTTAAAACCATTTAAGGCATTTCCACACCTGGCCACTGACTTTCTTCACACTAGTGAGGCAAGGAGCTGTCAAACTCCTCTTTTACAGACATATGCCTCCTTGTGTGGCTGTATCATAAACAAGATGACTGAGGTCACCCATACTTAGAATAACATTCCTAACAGTATTTGTTTGTTGTTGTTGTTTTTTTTTTTTTAACAGTCATAAACACCTTCTAATTAGCACAAGTGAATTAATACCAAACTCCTGGACAGAGACTAGAAAAAGATGTGATTTCTTGAACTGCCTTTGCTGAAAAATAGTATTAAATAAGGTTACCTCAAGACAAACAAAACTAGACATTACCTTACTACGTTCTCTTCACATCCCTACATCTTATTTATAACAAAACTTAAATTAGCACCACAAACCAGTCGTATTTTGATTTCTATTGAAGTAGAGAGTTCATCTGAGGCATAGCTAACATGAACAGAGCGATGATTCAATAACTCCTACTCAGATATTCCAATGTTTCATATTTCATAATTATTCACACGTTTGTCTTCTGCTAAAAAGAAAAATTAGTAAGCTGTATACAAACATTAAACCAAAAGCATTTAATTGTAGTATGTAAGTAGCTTGAAGGTCTTTTAACCTACAAAAGAGTTCCCCTGCCAAAATCCATCCCTCCAGATGGACAAAAGGAAACAATATCTGTCTAGCCCATCCACTCTTTTCAAGCATTGAAATGGATCTTCTGAAATTTAGGTTCCATGTTCCAACTGGAAAATACAGAGGTCCAAAGAAGTGATGGCTTAAGAGAGCAAAGGAACATCTTTTCCGTGCCCTGACAATGCTATAATTTCACCATGTCATTTGATTTACAGATCTGGAGACCAGAAATTGTTTAGATTCCAGTATAGACCTAATGATATGCTGGCACAAAAAAAATCATTTACACTATGCTTTGTGTTAGCCTCACAAACATTAACAGAAAGGCAATAACAAGCAAAAAGCTTGTTGGAAAAGCAGTTGATATTAGGCTATCATTAAAACCAACCCAAATAACTTGTTTTTATTAATAATTCTGCAAACAGCAAGAAGTTACAAACCTGACTTTCCTGCGTCTCTCTCATGTGATTTCTCTTGTACCTAAAAATGTGAGATTACAACCTTATCTTTCCCTCAGCTGGAATCTAATTTGGTTCTCTCCCCTTTACCTGGCCACTCATTTTCAAGAGCTCAACTTTAATGTAAAATTTGGCTCAAATTCTAAGGTAAAAAAAAAAAAAAAAAAAAAAATCGCCAGAGGGAAGTACTCAGACAATACAGCTGCTTGCGCCTCACTTCCTTACACACAAAATCATTTGTATTTGCCTAGTTCAAACAACAACTTCTGTGGAGTTTAATAAAATCATGAATTGTAATCCTTTTTGCTTCATCTTCATTTTGTAATTAGATTTTTTTTTCTTTGTAGGTCTGTAAAGCCTACAATTGAAAAATACATGAGTATGCTTCTCCTTTAACTCAGATACATAAGTGTAAACGCTCTGAATAACCCTCCAACAGCTTTAAAGCAAATGTAGATAATCAGTCATTTCCTGAGAGCTATTCATTTCGTCCTAAGGAGGCATTTAAAACAGCTGAAATAAATTGCCCAGCAGAGGTACTTGTATCTCTCTGCTGACTATGAAAAGAACTTTAGGTGATTAACCCAGATTCAGGCACCCAGCTTTTTTATATATATACATATATATACACATATATATATATACACACACACACACACAGAGCAGAATTTGCCTTACCAACAGGATATACTAGAAACCTCACTTTTGTGGCTTAAGTTATTTAAGTCTCATAAGCTGCTACTTAGTCCTTGATCCACCTTAATTTTGACAGTGTATACCTTATCACATATTTATTTTTCTCCTCCTCTCTAAAGAACAAACTTCATCAGCATATCACAAAAACACAAACAAAAAGAATGTCACTTCAAGATTCAGGCACCCAAATGTTGGCATCTAACTGTAGATTAGATTTAGGTGTCTAAGCTTTAGGTGTTGCCATTCGTAGAGGTACCAACCTGTAAGAGCAATTCAGGTGACCAGTCACTAGGTCTTAGGGCAAGCTGAATATCTCCCCAGGCTGCACCACATTTACTGCAATCTTTGGAGATCTATTCAGAGTTTAAGAAATCCAGCTCTTGCATATAAACCACACATTTAGGTGTCTTACTATAGAGCTGAATTCCACCCAACCCTGTTCATGCAATTACCTTATGTGACATTTCACATATTCTGAAATAAGGATTCTGTAATATAACTGATTTGGAATACACTCTGGGCTTTTAATGTCATTTATTTGTGCAAAAATTTAAAAAAAAAAAAAAGCTGTGCAAGAATGCAATAATACCTCATTGCTTTAAGAGGGTAAAATTCTTCCCCTTCAAAACTCCTGTCAAACCTTTCAAGAGAAACTAGACTCCTCCATTACAGAAGGAATCCCATAATATGATCCTCCCCTCCCAGAAAGCGCAAACAGTGTAAGTTCACAGATTTATATTTTCTTTTTAAGCCAACGAATCTTGAATTCCTTCACGTGAGTGTCACTGCTTCATCCAGCTGCTTAGTCTACAGCCTGCTACTAAAGCACACCCAGGGGAAGCAAAACATACAGGTTAACTGGTTTAGGCTTAGGCAAGTGCTTTGATCATAAGTCTGTTCATATAAAAATGCACAGCAGTACCATATTTGCTGTCTTAAACGCATTTAGCCTATAGCATGACCAGCTCTGTCCTTAAAAGAATCAGAAGATTCCTAATCACAGCAGATTATTGGAAACAAAGTCTATAGTATTGGCTCTGAAGAGATGCCTGATTTCATACATCTTTGTGCTTGCATTCTGCTAGACTGGCTAACTTGAGAGCTTCCATTTGGCCATAAAAATTAAGTATTTCAGAGAAGTGACCAAGTTATACCCATTCACTGCATCTAAAAGTGTACGCACCCAGAACTTAATCTGTTGTCCTAAATTTCAGGCAGTTTAATCATTCCAGATTTTAATAAATCTAAAAATAGCCACACAAAAAAATAAAATCAAGGCACCTATTAGAAGCCTGATTCCACATAAATAAGATTTGCACAAGAATCAGGCCAGAGACATTTAATCCATAGTCTCAAATAACTAGAGGATATCGGCCCAGTACAGATTTCCAAACCAATTCACAACTGATAGGGTTATTGGGCCAACTCCAAGGGTCAGATCAGCCCCTCTTTCCTACAGTGCTGGAACTGCAACAATAGCTCCCTGATATTTTTAATATTGAATGCAGTGTCATAACAAGTCACCCTTAAAACATTAATGTGGCATAAGTAATTTCATGAAGAACAAAAAGCAACAACTGAACTAAGCCTCACAAAAAGCTGGTTAATTTCATGAAAGAAACCACCTCTTTAGGCAAAGTATTCACTCACCAAAAATTCTTACAGAGAAAATTTATTTATAAATTGAAAAAGTGTTATTTAACCTAAGCATTAAGCAGGCCTTCTGACCCACATCTAATAACCAAAATTATTATCAATGCAGTCCTCATCTATAGATCTTAGAAATCAGTAAAAACTTTCTAGAATACCAATATGCTTATGGATATCTCCAGATCTACTCATTTGTATCTGCTAACTAGAATGATATTTTAACGTATTTTTTGTAAGAAAAAAAAAAAGCCACTGAAACCTGACTTATTAGGGTTAGACAGAACTTCATCATTTGAGTGAACTCATCAGATTGGTAACTGGATGAACAATAGCTACTTCCAGTCATTGATCAAGACCAAACCTAAAAGCAACAGTTGCTGTGTCTTATTGACAATGAACAAGAAGCTGAGGGCAAGAATAATTAACCTACTGGTACAAACACAAAATTAGAACACTATTACATATGTAAAAACACTCTTACTGTAATGAGGTCATTCCTTTTAACCATTCTTCCTTGGTAAAAAATCCCATGCTTTCAGCCTCTAGTTTCCAGGCTAAAACTAACATAATAATCTAGGGGGGGGAAAAAAACAAACAAGGAGAGAAGAAGGAGTCAGTATGCAAGACAAGGCTGATTTATAGATGTCCAAGAAGAAAACTCTTAAGCGTTCAAACATTCTAGCAATTGTTGTACATGCTTGCACTTTATATTTGTTACCATTTAATAATTCAGCTATGTGCAATCTTCCCCTTAATTTCAATTTCTGAAAATGAAGTATTACTATAACAAAAAAACCCCAAAAACCTCACACACCAGCCACACATAATTGATGTATTCAGCTGAAATACCTTAGAACAGCTCCTAAAAGCAGGAAGATTAGAACTCTTAACTTCAGTAAGCAGTGAGCCGTTTATTTTATCCAATATCCCCTTTAAAGTGTTATTAGTATCGTGTAAGAAACCTACATTTTCAGGCTCAACACCGATGTCTTCACAGAACTTTTCCATTCCTTCAGGCCCCACAACTTCATCAGGACCTTCAAAACCAAAAAGAAATCAGATTGAAATCTAAATAACATTCTCTGCTCACAAGGGTTACACACAACAGTAATTAGACTATACTGCATACAAGCTATCTTTAAAATCACTGAATTACACTATTAAGTAGCTTTAATGTTAGAACCATTCTATCAACTCCAATGTGGAGACATCTATATTACATATGAAGTAACACTATGAACTAAAAGCAAAACTAAACCAGAATTTTCGTATTTATTTACGAAATTTACTGCCTCCCCACAACAGCAGACAAACTATTTTAGTCTGTGCATGCAAGTTTTCCAAAGACTCCACTGAGTTTCCCATTGACACAGCTCAACTCCAATAACTGTGACGGTCAATTGTTTTTAAGACGACTTGGGTACTGCTACTCTGTGCTGAAGTTACTCTATGAATAACATTCTTCAAAGAGTTATTTTACCAACAACAACAGAAAAAATCCATCTGAGCTACTATTACAGATATTACTCTTTCAATGGCATTAACATTATGGGTTTGCAACAATACAGAAGAGGATGAATCTTCAAATAACATAAGGTTAGTTTTATGATTCTGAGTAATACGAGGAGAGTGATAACAATAAATCAGAAAAATGCTAAGCATGTTAGGCATGTACAAAGCAGAAAAAGGTTTATGACTGCAATGAAAATAACTTGATTAGGACCACAACAGTTAGTGTTATGCTGTCACTTTTCCATTTTAACACAAAGAAAGCATCTAAAAAGCATGTGTTTAAAGAGCACATAAAAAACACTCTACAATGCTTTGTTTCTCTGAATCTCTCTCTGGTTTTAGTTATTTCTGCTAAGCCTGTTCCAAAAATGACTCCTACTGGGCAACCATATATTAATAGAAGACCTGTTGACATGCTATTTTGATGTGTCTTGGATCATTATGTTAACATCATTTTAGTGAATATGAACCCACGTAAAAGGTAAAGGCTTTGTCTTCTGGAACAACATGCCATTTAATTTTTTTTTTTTTTAAATGTTGCTATTTATACATAGACAGAGCAGTCCTCCCCGTTCCCGTCCCCCCCCTTCCCCCCTTGATGATACCCATCTTCACTTCATGTGTATCTGCTTCTGTTATTGTAAGCGGAACTCTTTTTAAGAGTTTGGATAATGTACTTTGAGTAATGACTCACTGTGAGACAAGAACATAGTCAATAAAACCTACTGAGAACGGCTACTTTTACAGGAAAATAAAATGCAACTGGCATTTAAGATCATGAACCCCTACCTCTTGAAAAATGTTGCAAGGAACATTTCGCCTAAGTAAGCAAGGCAAAACACTGCCATCTGGTTTTGAGAAGCCCTTACAGAGAATGTGCTAAAAAAATGCAAGTTTAAGTTATGAAGAAATGCATACTGGTAATGACAGGTATAAACTTGAATCAGTATTTTTGGCCCAGAAATCATATGTACAATTCATATATATGAGTATAATTTTCTCTTTTAACGGAAACATTTAATCTCCTAGGGTGTATAACTTCACTGGAATTCTCTTTTATGCTAGAAATTTGGCATCTTTTGATTACTGGTTAACCAACAAAGTATAACCTTCTACACTCAGTGTTTGACCCAACAGCAAAACCAAAATTTATAGGCCTTAAAGTTAAAAGCATGTGCAGGTGTGTTGATCAGAAGAAAATTAACTGAGAAATCTTATTTTCTGCAGAAAAGACTCTTTACTCCAAAACCATATTTCTCAAACCTAAATTCGAAAGCAGATTACTAGAATCAGGATCAGTTCATTAATGTGGAAAGACTGCAAGTCTTTATCAGTTCTGATAAATATACTCAAACCAATTGCTGGCAGATAAATCATCAGCTCATTTCATACTGAGAACTGGCCATTAGTGAGTTTTAATCACCAATTAGTTATGACTGACTTCAAGTAGTGACAAGAAAAGAAATTAACAACAGCTTACAGATCCTGAATTTCCAACCATATAATCAGTAAATAAATAGCAGTAACAGTTTAATAAAATCTGCAAAATACAGTGCATATTCACTGAAAGCAACTATTACTTGGATAGCAATTCTGGTTTATTTGAAAAAAGGACACTTCTAACCCTTTTGAATGAAACATTTGTTATTTAAAATATCAAAAATGTTAGGACAGTCTCAGATAGGAAAAAACAGTATAAGCATCTATTATTTTATTTTGTAAAATAGAAAGCCACAAGGCTTAAATCATGAACTATTTAATTATCCTTCCAATTTGATTATAAACAAGATCTAGTTGGATAAATAAACTTCTATCTAAACTATCCCTCAATGTCCTGACCTCTACTCATCCGTTTCAAATAAAGAATTAGAATCATTCAGTATGTCCTGGTTCAACGCTGTACTGTTCAACATCAGTAATTTCATTGTAAAGAACGCCATGGTAAGTTACAAAGTAAAGAAGAGAAAGTAAAAAAGAACAAATACTGAAAAGGTGATAGGAAAAGCTATACTAACTCAAGTGAATGTTATAAGGAAGCGAATATGGATGTATTTTTTATGTCTACATCAGTATAAAAAAACAAAATGCAAATGATATTTGATGTATTCATTTGTTTTAAACAAAACCATATAATTTTAAATATTAATCCATTGCATATTACCTGCATATTCATAAAACCAAGCCAGGCACTTTTTGCTTGAAAAATGTTCCTCTCCGCTTATTACTTTACCAGAGGCTTGTGATCTGCAATAGCTTATAGAAACACAAGGGTGGTGTTATTTTAATATGACAAATGGGAAATGATTTAAAATTAAATTCCAAATTTTTCATTATTAGTTCGAACTATTTAAACTGTTTCACAAAGTCAATACACATCAACAATGAAGCTGAGTTTATCAAAGGGCAACTATCTGTTAGCCTATTTCAACACTTGTTGGAACATAAAATTACCTTGAAATACAACCCTCTTATAGCCCAATTTATTGCAACTATTACTTTTTCTGAAACGCAAAGGTACTGTCAACCTGGAGATACTAAACCAAGAAATCCACACACAGACAGTCAATATATCACTACTCAGTAATTCAAATGACACAGGCATTTAAAGTTAGGTCTCTAATAAGCAGCATGATCTTCAAGAGTGCTGAATATGCACAGATCCCATTTAGGTCAACAGGAGCTGCAGAGTTTGACATATTTAAGTCAGGCTATTTATAGTTAAGCATCCAAATTTGAGAAGAAAACTCGGTCAATTTGCTTATGTTAAACATGTAACTAAATATCTGTAAATTCTGTAGATGTTCGGTACACATACCATAGATTTCATATTACTGTTCTAGTAACACTAAAACTGCTCAGCACACACAGCTACCCCCCTGGCATTGTCTTCATTATGTGACACACAACCCAGTTTGCTTAGAAAGTCAGTTTTTATAATTTATTATTCTTTAAAAGAATACATAGAATAACTAATTTCTTCCACTAAAAACATCGACCACACGAAAGCATCTGTAGCCAGGAAGGAGCTGCAGCACCTTTTTAATTAATGCTCCTTTCGAATAAAAGTTGAAAGTCACTCATATGAGATGACTTAAAATTATGCAGCTCCTACATTGCAATTTTAAAATGAAAATGTCAAGTAGGAAAAGAATAGTTCAATTCTGAGAGGAGATGAACAATTTTATCTCCCATGTATCACCTTAAGCTTCACTGGAAAAGAAAGCAACACTCTCCAAGATGAAGCCTTATGTGCTGAAAGCTAGAATTAAAGAGGTACTACAGACAAACATCCATTAAACTGCCATTAAAAACACAGGTCACCAGAAAGAAACAGAACCATACAGTATGCTATTGCTTGTTGGTTTTACCCAGTTTAACATATATCCATTTGTAATTGCTGGTTTTATTAAAGAATATTACCAATATATTGCTGTATAAGAATGCTATGTCAAAAACGCTTGCATATCTAACATTTTGCGACCATCTAGTATGAACTCTCATTTACATCATCATTTTTGCCCAATGACTACTAGCTTCCTGTAGAGTCTTGTGGGTGTTTTTTTTTTTTTTTAAAGAGTTTTCAAAAGATTTTTTTAAAATAAAAGAAATTAAGATCATAAAATTTTGGTCAGCAGTGTTCAAGAAAGATGAACTGAAACTGGAACAGATGCAGAGAAGAGCTATGATGAGCAAGGAAACTGAAAATCAGTATTACAAACCAGAAGAATCTAGCTTGTTTAATTTAAGAAAACAAAGCATGAGAAAACACAAATGCTCACTCCAAATACATTATGAGGCAGAACTATGAGGGAGGAGCGTTATATAAAGGATAATGCAGGCACAAGAACAGTTACTAACTGGCTATGAGTAAATTTAGACAGAAACTAAAAGATCACTAATGACCACAGAAAGTGAGCTCTGGAACAGTCATCCAAAATGAACAGTCATTGCAAAATAAAAGCCTGAGTACATCTAAGCACAAGCTTGGTCAACCTATGAGAAAGGCCATACGCCACAGTTTCTTGCAATAGCCATTCCTGTAGCATTGATTTCGTAAGTCCTTTGTATTCTTATGTCCTCAGGACATTTATCCTAACTACTGGTTTATTGACACAAAACATTCTAATAGATGAAAAAGGCATCCAGTTACTTTAGGGAAGCCACACTGGAAGCTCCTGCTACACCATAGTAATAGTTTATCATTCTAATGATAATTTTGGTGTATCATGACATAAGTGGTCTTTTTATAGTAGTTAATGAAAAGACACTCAGACTCCTGTATTTATTAACAAAAACCTTTCCTGATTTTGTACGGGAGTGTGCCAACCTCTCCTTCCACTTCACTGCAAAAAACCAAACAGAGACAGTTTAACGAAGACACTCTTGAGTACTGGTGACCTTAAAACGAGGAGACCTGCCTACCCCAGGCAAGAGGTTAGAATGAACGTGTGGACAAACGCTGGACCCGCCCCTGCCGGTAGAGCGAAAGGCCAGACCAGCCGGGGACGGCAGCAGCTCCGTACCGTTTCTCCCCTG